AACAAAAATGGAAAAGACATAGCTGGGCTTTAAAATAAGATGAACATCTTTCTGGACCAGAAATGGAAACAAACACAGGGCACAGTGAGCCGTACGTGGTGAGTAATGGGCTTTCAGCTCCTGTTGTCATAACAGGAATTACAATTTTCCTCACAAGGTGTAGGGGCCCAGAGCCAGACATTTGAAATCAGGGCCCCACAAAAACACACCTGGAAAGACACATACATAGGCATACTTATACGTGAAAGGACATTGGAAAAAGAACAGTTTGGACTGCTGCGGGGGACTACTGCTTATATGCAGCCATGGACCTAATGTATGGAGCCTGGGGAACAGGTGGGGAGTGCACTTGGGAAAGAGAACTTCAGAGCCTTAATACCAGGACATGAACCATGCTGCCTGATGATGAAACTCACAACAACTGCACTCATATCATTCAGTGTGACTGCTGCAGATTACCAATATAAGATCTAAAAGCTCTTACAGACTAGAGGCCTGTGAATGGCAGATGGTAACAGCCACAAAACCACTTGATGGGATGCCCTAACCGGTTTGGCTCAGTGGATAGAGTGTCAGCCTGCAGACTCAAGGGTCCCAGGTTTGATTCCGGTCAAGGGCATGTACCTTGGTTGTAGGTACATCCCCAGTAGGGGGTGTGCAGGAGGCAGCTGATCCATTTATCTCTCTCATCGATGTTTCTAACTCTATCCCTCTCCCTTCCTCTCTGTAAAAAATCAATAAAATATATTTTAAAAAAAACAAAACCACTTAATGGGGAGAGGTGAGTTCCAGCAGGAGAGGAAAACACACACACTCCATCTCTTTCAAAATGTGTCTTCAAACCAAAATCCCAAACACATTAAAAGGTGAGAGAGTCCTTCCAAACTGACCATCAAAAGATGAATTAAGGCTAGATGAAAGTAAAATGATAGAATGGTACAGCAAGTATTGCTTGTAAGCACATTTAGGATATGCTCAAAGACATAAACAAGAAAACACCATTTGTTTAAAAAAATAGCAAGAAACTAAGACAGAAATAGATGAAGAATAAATGGATCTGAAAAAGGCATCTTTGTAAATAAAAACTATCACAACTTTTTTTAATTTTGTTTTATTGCTTAAAGTATTACAAAGAGTATTACATATGTCTCCTTTCCCTGCCCGCCCCCCTTGACATTCCCCTGGCCTCCCCTACTGAAGCTACGAAACCCAATAGACAGGATAGAGTAGACCCAGTCACAGAAGATAAGAGAATTAAAAGATGATTCTGAGGACTTTACTATGCACAGCGCTAAGAGAAAAAGATAAGAAATATAAATGAGCAATTAAAAGAGATTGGGAATTGGCCACAAGGCTCTAAAATATACCTAATCGAAGTCTCAGAAGAGAATGGATAAAATGGCAGAGAAGCAATGTTTGAAGCTGTAATAGCTGAAAATCTTCCAGAACTGAAGAAGGATGTGAGTTTTTAAGGAAATGGTCTCCCGAGAGAAATTTCAAACATCTGGGAAGGCAAGAAAGGCTCTACTTAGGAGCAATTGGTATTCTTCACAGCTCAGCTTTGGGAGGCCCTGGCTGATTCAAATGACCTTTTCTTTTTTTCACTGGAAAACATAAAAACTGAAATGTAATGTGTTGTATATACTAAACCACGTTTTCTGAACAAGGGCACGTATAAATAACTCATTAAAGGAGAATCTGTAGACAACTAGACCCAGAGGATCAAGATATCAAGGAAGACTTCTCTAAAAAATGCCAGTACCTTTGTGAAAAGTAGGTGGCAAGATAATAGTAATTTGTTTTTATACATGGTCTTCAGGATAGTATCACAGTGTTTTCAAAAATAACATTGTGGATGCTGGATAGAGTGGAAAGAAGAATCCTGAATAGGACCTTACATAAGAAGGTAGTACCAGTTGGAACATTTCAATGAAGGTGAATTTCTTTCAGTGAATATTGCAAGGGAGAAAAAATAGAAGAAAAGTCCTGTCAAGTGAAACCTTGTGAACATTGGATGCTGCTTCAAGTTCACAGAAACATTTAGATGATTGTCAGTTAAGTGGTCAGAGATTGGATTTAATTAATATGGACAACTGCTTACATTGGTTCACACCCAGAGGACCTATATGCAGAATCTGGCTGAAGGTAAACTTATTTTGATAAATATCTACTTATTACTGCTCTGTCAAAGCAGCTTGCTACAAAACAAACTGCACACACAACTGTCCTTGAAGATTGAGAACTGATGGGATGTCAATCAAGACAGATAGGAGATTATATTCCTGTCGATGAAAAAGTCATATATTGGTTTCCTACATGACTTTAAATCCTAGAAAACTTATAACATTAGCTATAGGGTAGAGCTTTAAAAAAAAGAATAGATTGGATTTTATTTCTTCTTTAATATGAAGATACATCATTTTGAAACTAAGCATTTTGGAAGACATGCCATTCTCTGCCCAGATATTGAAAAACAGGAAATATTTCCCTAACAGGAAACCTGATCATGAGATTATCTTACTTTCTCCAGTGGGACAATGGGAAAACTCTTCTCACCTCACTTGCATCTCATATCTTTTCTCATAGATATAGGTCCTCCACATTTGTGGATAGGAAGTTCTCTCACCTGAATGAAATATCATCTGTGAACAACAGAAATCTGTCCTCTTATTTTGGTATTTATTGTAACTGGAAAAAAGGTAGCCAAGAGTTCTAATCAGTCACCAGGTATCAAATAGCAGAAGTGTCATCAATGGGAATTGTATTTCCAGCAATTCTAAAGCAAGAAGGGAATCTGTAGTCCTAAATATATTTATTGAAAAGCATAAAAATAAAAAAAAATGATTTAAGCATTCAACCTGAAAAGCTAGAGGAAAAGGCACAGTGAATTACACTACAGTATTAATGGATGTGAAATGAGACCAGAAGAAGTGAAGAGCTTCCCCACACTTCTGGATATGAAGACTCAAAAACATGAAGTCTGTTCTTCCCAGTTTAATCGATAAATTCAGTGTAATTCAACCCCCAAATTTCACCAAGAATTTTGGTATGAAAAGGTGACACTAAAATCATAGGGAAGATCAAAGGGGTCAGAAGAGCTGAGACAATTTTAAGTCAAGAACAATGGGAAAAGGAGGGTCTACCACACACCAACTTATTTAAAGCTGTGGTGTAGCACCTGCATGGGGCGGAGACATGCAAAGAAACCAACGAAATGGAATAGAGAGCTCAAAAGCACACTTGTGTGTTTATGGACTCTTAACGAATTGCCGAGATACCATTAGAAATCACTGGGGGAGAAAACTATACAATGAATGGGCTGGCTTAATAAGTTATCTATGGGGGAAAGTAAAAGTAGATCGTATGTTAACACCAAACACAAATGATTCTGTGTAAAGTCCTAAATGTGAAGAACAAAATGTTAAACGTTACGTAAGTGCAAGGAAGATTTTCTTAAGCAAAACTTAAAAAAAAAAAAAAAAAAAAAACAGAAAATGGAGTAATATGTTAAAATTTAAGTTTTTTGTACAACAGGATGCCAGGAACAAAGTTAAAGGTAAGCTACACAGAGATATGGGTAGGAGATAATATTTGTTGTGCACATAGCTGGCAAAACAATAAGCATCCAGAATATAACCAGAACTTTAATGAGAAAAAGACAATCCAGAGGGGAAATGGGTAAAGAAAACATGAAAAGCCAATTAACACAAAAGAAATTCAACCTCACCAGTAATCAGGGATGTACAAATTAAAATGCACCCATCAAATTGGCCAATACTTAAGTGTTTGATAACCCCAAGTCTTTGATGAAGATGTGGTTTAATAAAAAATCTCATTCACTATTGGTAAGAGAGTAAATTGGGAAAACCACTTAGGAGAGTAATTTGGTAATATGTAGCAATGCAAATGTTACTGGGACCCCAAAATTCCACATCTGGATATGTTCTGTAAAGAATCTCTTAAACAGGTACCCAAGGAGACAGGTAGAAGGGAATTCATTGGATCATTGTAATTGTGAAAAGTTGGAAACTTAAATGCCCATTGACAGGAGAATGTTGTTAGCGTATTAAAGCAGCAGAATAATACCTTACAGCACTTAAAATCACAAATGATTATGCATCAACATGGATAACCCATCAAAACCGTGTTGAAGGCAAAAAAGCAACTCTTAGCATGGTATGTACATTTTTAAACATTAAGTTCTTAAACAGAAAGTTTAAGAACGTGAAAAATAATGCTATGGGATTGAATTACATGAAATGGCCATTTTTGTAGGTAAAAAACCGCCGACTATCAGCGTCTTTGTTAAGTTCATCCTAGTATTTGTGGATATGTTCGTGGTAATGATGGACACGGGATTCAGGATGGCATTACCTCCTTGGGGGCGATGGTGAGGAGGGACTGATATGGTATTGACCAGGGCATGTCGGGGAGCTACAGCTTTAACTGTCATATTTTATTGTTTCAAATATGATTTGAAAACAATAGGGCAAGTGTTAAATGTATTAAAGCAGTGTGTTGGGTACCTGGGTACATTCTTAGTATGTTCTTATACATTGCTGTTGAAATAGCTGATGGTTTTTTATGCAAACCACCATGTTGATAGAGGTATAAAAATTATAATCTCATGACATTATAGAGAAGTATTTACAAAATGGTTATTTTTTTTTTGCTGCTGACTTGTCTGAACATAGCATTCATGAGGCTTTTTGTATAAAATAAAAGGTTGAAAAGCACCTCACCTCACACACCCGGCAGACGCTTCTGATTTTATTTTTGTTTTTTAGCATTACTAAGATCATCATCATAAAAATCCATTCATTAAGTGCCCCTCTTCTGCTTGCTTTTGTGTTTGGTGGTGGTCAGGTGCATCTCTGCCATTTTATATGAAATCTGGTGATGATACTGAACTTACTTTTTTTTTCCTTTCCTTTCTTTTTCTTTTCTTTTCTTTCTTTCTTTCTTTCTTTTTTTTTTTTTTACTTCTTTGGTGCCAACAGGAATCTGCAAGCAGAATATGATCGTCTGAAGCAGCAGCATGAATACAAAGGCCTGTCCCCACTGCTGTCTCCTCCTGAAATGATGCCCACCTCTCCTCAGAGTCCCAGGATGCTGAGCTCATTGCTGAGGCCAAGCTACTTCGTCAACACAAAGGCCGCCTGGAAGCCAGGATGCAAATCCTGGAAGACCACAATAAACAGCTGGAGTCCCAGCTGCATAGGCTAAGGCAGCTGCTGGAGCAAGTGAGGCCCCCCTCTCTTTAACTTGGGACATTTACAAAATCGTGCTTTTTTTCTCTTCAGTAAAACTAAAAAAACAGACTGCCTTTTGAGAAGTGCAATAAGCACCAATTTGTTGAGTACCTAGTATGTGCCTAGCAATGTGCTAGATATCAAGGGACATGAGAAGGAAAACTAGTGTGCTTGTTACTATTTGTTCAAGATTGTTTCCTACAAAAATGTTTTTATTTGAATGATTTAAACTTCATCTTTAAAAAAAAGTACCTAAAGGTTTCCACTAGTTTTCTAAAAGTGAAAATTGTACCTCTTAAAATGGAACTCTCTTTTTAGCAATTAGTATTACTGTAATTTCTGGTATATCTTAGGGTTTTTTCCTTATGTTTTCTAAAATATAATTTTTAAGCCTCCATTGAAAACCTAGTAAGATACTGCATTGTAGTAGACCCTACCTGCACATGGTCCTGGCTTTCTGAGAATTTTACCTTTTCGGATATGTTTTCTCCATCTTGCTTCACAACAGTATGAATTCTCCACTACATTTTTTGTGGCACCCAATGGTTTCACCATTCTCACATGACCTTCTAAATATTTTAATGATTTAGTCTGCTGATTTTTATATATCCTTTTTCACTGAAGCTGTGATTTTTTTTCAACCACGTAAGGGGCACACTCAGACATAAAAACAATATCCATGGAGCTCATCAATGGTGAAATTTCCCAAATTTAATAATCTTTGGGAGGTTTCTAAGTAGGAAAGGTCATTTCTGAGTTCTGAATGTCTATAATGGTTTTATGTTTATATATCTGAGTGTTTACTATGAAAAATAATTGTTTTCTTCTGGATGCCTTAGCCCCAAGCAGAGGCCAAGGTGAATGGAACAACTGTGTCCTCGCCTTCTACCTCTCTTCAGAGGTCAGACAGCAGTCAGCCTATGCTGCTCCGGGTGGTTGGCAGTCAAACTTCAGAATCCATGGGTAAGTGTCTGTCTTAGGTACTCCTGGATTTTGTTATCTCTTAAGGTCTGGAAAGGGTGAACTCCTTGCTGGGATGTTCAAATCATCGACTGAATTATCTAATATCATTTCTGGGCAAAGCATTGTGAAGGAAGAGAAAATGTTTGATGTTGTTTTCCTAGCTTTCCCACACCTTAGTAATTTAGGGCAATCTCTGCGTTAGATTTGTTGTCTCCACATGAGATCTGAAGATAGCTAGCAGACGGTTGGGTCTGTAAAAGATTGCTCAGTATATGCAAAGATACTATGTGCCTTTGAAAACTCCATAAATTCCCCCAAACAACTGAGTTTTAGAACCACTGTTGTTATTTCCTACTGCAGGGTTTTCCCCTTTTTTGAAGTAAGCAAAGCATATGAAACTGAGTCACATATTTTAGCCGTGAGACCCAGAGCCCTGGGTGCTTAGAAGCATTAATTATTTAGGCATGTCAACACCCGCAAAGAGGCAGCGTGCCCATGAAAGCACCCAAGGTAAAGTGCACATCAGGCCCCGGTCCTGATGATTTGTGGAGCCAAGAAGATTGTGGTAGAACTTGAATCCAAGGACAAAACTGCTATATTCTGGAGGCTGGGATAGGCTGAGATAACGTGCCAGTATAAAATGGGTTAGGCTCTTTCGTTAAGTTTGTTCTCTGAGAGTAAAGACTGAATTCAAAGGAGATTTTTTTAAATGTATAAGGCAACTTCATTTAAGAAGAAAAAAAAAACCAAACCATCTTCTTGAAGGATGCCCACAGGTATTTAAACAAATGCAGTGGGTGTCCTCATATTTTGAAGGTCTATGTGCCAAAGTCTATGAACCATATTCTGGATAGAGAGTTACATTTTTTAAATGAACAACCCCAATGACCTTTTTAAAGTGAAATATGGGTGAATTCATAGTAGGTGATCTATGTAATGAGTGGAGTGCTTCCTCAAAGCATGAAATACTTATCACTGGTAAGTCTCTGTGCACTATATGTGTGTCCTAACAAAGCTTACATTCTATTGGAAAAGACAGACAAAGAAATAGAAATTAACAGTTATGTTCTCTTGGCTTTCATGAGCTACACACACAGGAGCCTTTGACTTCCTAACGACTCCTTATGTCTAACGACTCCTTAGCTTCTGATTTAGAACAATTTCAAACTTATGGCAGAATTGCAGTTAATTCAGTGTTTTTGCCACCTTTGCTTTATTTATTTATAGTCACATCTATTTTGTATATCTATATGTTAACAGCTTTATATATACTGTATATATTTATATTTTATGTGCATATTTTATGCATGTGTAGAGTTTATTGATTTGTTTCTCATTTCACTAGCCCACTTAATGATTATGTTTCATGCATAATGACACTTTACTCCTAAATCCTTCAACATGTATCTTCCAAGGTGAAAGATCTTTGCATACATGACTGTAATAGAATTATCACACTCAGGAAATTAACACTGATACAATACTATTATCTAATACATAATTTAAAATTCAAATAGCCCCAGTTCTGCCAATGATATTCTGTATAGCTTTTTGCTTTTTTTTTCATTCAGCATCCAACCAAGGTCATGCTGTGCATCTAGTTACCATGTCTCTTTAGTCTCCTTTAATCTAGAACACTTCCCCAGGCTCTCTACATTTTTCATGGCAGTGACATTTTAGAAGAGGTCAAACCAGTTGTTCTGTAGAATGTTCCTCAATTTGCATTTGTCTGCTTGTTTAGTTAAATATTTTATAAGCAATTACTACATAGGTGATGCTGTATCTTTCTCAGCTCATCACCTGAAGGCTTTCCTAACATTCTCTCTCCTTCCCCTTTACTCTTTTTGGCACTACTTCCATTTCTTGGCATCTGCCATGTTGATAACCATGAGTCCTAAATCTCTCTACTGAGTGTCTTCTGGATAGAAATATAAAATTTGAAATCCTGGTCAACCTCCAGAACATTTCTTCCAATTTTCCAAACTACACAAAAGCAGTCTTTTTCACACTTTGTCCCTTTATCTACTTTCTTTTACTTTTAAGCTCCCTTGAAGTATAATTGATATACAAAAATTGCATACATTTAATATATGCATTTGGATGAACTTGGACATATGTATACACCCCATAATATGATCACCACAACCAGGCACTAAATATATCCATCACTTCTAAAACCAATCCTTTCCTTAATTTCTTTAGCTAAGTCCTACCATCATCAGTTAAATCATCAAGGTCAATCTGTTTTACCTCTCTTATAAAGAGCAGAACTCTTCAGTTCAGTATTTCTGCCCAAATTTAGCCTTCATTATGTGATCAACTGAACAGACAATATGAGTACTCTCCTAATTGGTTTCTCTTTTTTTTGTCCCTCTCCCTTTTCAAGCCATCTTCCAGATGTTTCCAGTTACTCTCCTAACATTCAGATTGTATATTATTCTTCTCCTTAAATATGTTGTGACTCCTGTTTGCCTACAGAATAAAGTTCTTACTCCTTAGCATGGTATTCAAAATCCACTTTCCTCTGCAACCCAATTTTTTACTGCCTTCAAACATGACCACAGAAGATCCTGAATAGCCAAACCAATCCCGAGAAAGAAGACCAAAGCAGGAGGCATTGTACTTCCTCATTTCAAACTATATGACAAAGCCATAGTAGTCAAAATAATATAGTATTAGCATAAAAACAGACTCATAGATGAACAGAACAGAATAGAGCCCAGAAATAAATGCATGCATACATAGTCTATTTATTTACAACAAAGTAGCCAACAACATACAATGGGTAAAGATAGTCTCATCAGTCAGTGGTGTTGGGAACACTGGGTATCCACATGCAGAAGAATGAAAGAAGACCACTATCTTGTATCGAAAAATCAGCTCAAAATGGATTAAGGGCTTGGACATAAGACTTGAAACCATAAAACCCCTTGGAGAAAGGTAGGCAGTAAGCTCCTTGATATCAGTCTTGGTGATGAAATTTTTGGAGTTGACATCAAAGCAAAGGCAACAAAAGCAATAGTAAGTGTGACTACGTCAAATAAAATGTGCTCTTACAGCAAAGGAAACCATCAACCAAATAAAAAGGCAACCTATGGGATGGGACAAAGTATTTGCAAATCATATATCTGATAAGGAGTTAATATCCAAAATATATAAAGAACTCATACAATTCAATAGAAAAAAAATCTTATTCAAAAATGAGCACAAGATCTGAATAGACATTTTCCCAAAGAAGCAGCACAGATGGCCAGCAGGTACATGAAAAGGTGCTTAACATCACTAATCATCAGGGAAATGCAATTTGTAACCACAATGAGATAAAAGAATATTAGCTATTAATTTTAATATTTTTCACCACCATTGAACACTGACTGGCTAATAATCACTGTTATCATTGTATACCATAATTAAAGAACTTATACACAGCATTTTAATGTAAAATTGAAACCATCCTCCCCAAATATAATTTTAAAAGTAATTGAAGCTAACATCAAGTACTAGATAAATCTTTTCTTTTCTTCTGAAAAACTGGAGGAAAGCAGAAAAAAACATGTCATGAAGTAATCACACATCAAGTTGGAAATTGGTTAAAAACATTATATGTGATTTAAGTAATCCAAAGAAAAATAATGATGGGCATAGTTGCTAATACACAGACCCCTTTTTAAGAGAATAATTTTCTAGTACATAGTTCCCTTTTGTATAAAGAGAAAATACTTTGCTTAGGTGTAAGCAAAATTACAGGAATAAGGTTTCTTAGGTCTTTTCTGCATAGGTTCTGGCTAAAGTCATTTCTTAAGCAAGTAGGAAAATCATCATTTGAATTGAGGAAAGGGAAGTGAGTCAGATGAGTTGTCATCCTTTCAAGAAAGCCTAACATCTTGCTGAGTTTCAGAAGACTTTAAAAAGATCTTGCCCATACCAAACCATTCCATTTCTTTTTTCCCAGATTAACTTTGAGTCATTTCACTTCTTTTTTCTCCACTTCCTCAGTGTCTATCACATTATGCTATATCAGGGTATATTTTAACTTTGATTGTCCTTATTTTGAAACATTCATTTAAAAAATGTTCCAGTCATTTTTGGGGGCCAACTTCAAACAAGCCATGACAGTTATAGCTAATAATCAAAAAGGGAGTTTTATGCATGTTTGTGGGAATCACCTTGGAGTAGAACTGTGATCATCTGGTTCATAGGTCAACGCTCAAACCACTGAGCCATGCTGGCCAGGCTGATTTTATCTTAATAGTGAGCACTGCCAAGCATTCTTTAAGCTTGCGCTTAAAAACCAAGGATGAAAACTTAATAAATGCAGGATGATAATCATAGTTGAAAATTTAAGTGGCAGGGACCTTAAATATTAGCATCTTTAAATCATTATATCACTGGCTCTCCAGTCATTTCCTGATCAGATGTGAAACTAGATTTCCTTCCTTATTGGCGACTTGCTGAAGCAAGGTCTTTTACGTGAAAGTGATAATATGCTGGAACAAAGTGAGATGGAAGAGAAGTTATTTTCACTGTTAGAAGACAATGTTATGAAAAATTAGTTTCCAAGAACCTTCAAAATTCAAAATAGTTTTGTTTTCACTTAAGAAAATTTTCCCTTACTGAAATGCTGTTTGAGGTGTATTTCTTTGACATGTGACTAAACAGAGAACACAGATCAACAAAACCTACAAGGAAACTCTCATTCCCTGAGGAAAACCATACATCCCTACATTTTTTTGCCTTCCAAATCACCATTCTCTCCTCACATAAACAAATTCTCAAAAATTAAAAAAAAGTTTCCCCTTATTAGCCTCCAAAAACAATATTATGATAAAGTAGTCCCATGTAACAAAGAGGAAAGGAATGTAACTCCCCACTATTCCCCATATCCACAGTTCTTCAAATATTAATATTTTATCACCTATATAAGTCACATACAACTTTTATTTCTTCCTGTTACATTGGACTTTAAAGGTACTTCATTTTTGTTTGTATTTTTGGTTAAATGTCAAAGGAAAAAGTGGTGAAAATACTCAGTGTCTGCACTCCTTTCTTTCTTACCTTCTTAAATGCAAAATGTCACAGTCTTATTTTCTTTTGTGTTGAAAATACACTGCAAGTGTCCAATAATAATTTTTATTACAAAGAAAAATGTCTCACCTTTGTTAATAGGATACAAAAAACCTATGTCAACTTTATCTTAAACTTTAAACAGATGTACAGTTTTCTTCTGCAAAGATAATGACATAGATAAATCCCCATATAGAATTCTTTTTCCCTTTAAGGAGTTGTTTCCTAATTAGTAAGCTTAAAGGGGTATTTTTATTTACATTATTTATGAACAAGTGGAAATGAATTTTTAATGGATTTCTAGATGCAATCATGGGCCTTTTCTCTAGTATCTCTAATTTTTTCCTGAAGTATAATTTTCAATTGTTTGTGTTTGCTTTCATTAAGGTGAGGAAGATCTTCTGAGTCCTCCCCAGGACACAAGCACAGGGTTAGAGGAAGTGATGGAGCAACTCAACAATTCCTTCCCTAGTTCAAGAGGTAAGCTGCACTACCTGGCGGTAACTCAGACTTACTGGAGTTAGGCCACTATCGGAAATACCCAGCTAGTATGTCCGTTTTCCACATTTAATAAACATATGCTGACAGAATGCCAATTTGGAATCACTGTGAGAAGATTTTGTTTTTAAATGTGAATTTCTGGTTTGGATGACTGAACTTTCTGGTCATAGATTCTGGTTAAAATTAAATACCTGTGTAATCTAGATGATTCTGGAATTATAGAATACTAACTTGCATTTCAAAAGTATATTACATGCTTTGCACATTACTCTGCAGAGTTAATTATGAGGTAGCTTTTACGTAAGAGCAATTATGTAACTTTTACAGACGAGGAAATTAGTGCCCTAATGGTGCCTTTGCCAGGGACATACAGATTGCTATACAATACAGTGAGTCCAGGATATGCCTGGTATACAGTGGTGGTGGGAACTCTAACTTGCAATTTGTTGCCCTTTTTATTTAAAAATTGTGTCTTATCCCATCATTTAAATATAAGTAGATTTAAATTTTTATATACTATTTTGTTACTTTTTTTACTTCCAGAGATGGAATACTACCTTCACAAAGAAAGGCATTGAAATTATTTTTTTAAATATATTTTATTGATTTTTTATAGAGAGGAAGGGAGAGGGATAGAGAGTTAGAAACATCGATCAGCTGCCTCCTGCACACCTCCTACTGGGGATGTGCCCGGAACCAAGGTACATGCCCTTGACCGGAATCGAACCCGGGACCTTTTAGTCCACAGGCCGACGCTCTATCCACTGAGCAAACCGGCTAGGGCGGCATTGACATTATTAACGCCTTTAATTTCTTTCTCCCCATCACTTTGACCTTGTATACTTAGCCCCTTATTCAAAAAGAGCATTTTCCCCCAACATATTTTCCCTCTAGCCCATATGAGCTTTAGATGTTTTGCCTCATCCAAGGAGGTACTGTGCTGCTGCTGTTAATTTTTTGGAGTTTTTCTTTAAGTTTACTGCCCTGACGTAAAACAAAGTCACTGACCCACTTCCCTTCAGTGAATAAAAAGAATGGCAGCCAATGCCTGTGAGCAAACAAAGGAAAGCCAGGAGAAGCCAAAGAGGGAAAACACAAGGCTTTGTGGCCAGTGATTGGCACCCCTAATGGGCAGCCCAAGAGGGAAGGGCTCCAGAGAATCTGGCTATTTGTTCCTCTCCCTAAGGGCGCTGACGAGGGTGTTTTGAGTCCTATCTTTTTGTTCACTCTTGGTGCACAATGGCCATTTCCTAGCTACTCAATGTATGAGTAAACGTAGTGCAGTGCACATTAAAAGCAATAATGTTCTGATAGAGGGTTGCTAAGGAACCGTCAGGGGAAGCTAATTTTAAACATCTGCACGAGCCATCTTTCTACCACAGAGCATCTCTGATATGTTGATTCTAACAGATAAAAATCGTATCTGTCTTCCACCCACCCCACACCCACCACTCTCATCCCCATCCTGACTATCTTAGCTGTCTTCTCTCCCCAGATGCTATGAATCATAATGAGACCATATGCCAGTTTGACATAAATCACATGCTTTCACCTTTATCCTGCCAGCTTTTACCAGCACCTACTATGGACCAGTGGAGGGGGTTAGGGATGCAATGAAGAAATGTCAAGTTCCTTGTCTTCTAGGTGCTCATGGTCCACAGTGGATGCAGATTTCCAAAGTTCAAATCACAGTACAGTACTATTATTGCTGTAATGGAGATGTCTACGACACGATGAACCCTAAAAGCACCCTTTTAGATAAATAGGAGGTTAGCTTCAGACTGAGCAAGTGTCTTCTTCAAAATCACACAGCTACTGGTTGGGCAGGGACTTTGGGCCTCAACATCTCACACACATTCCATGGACCCACGCTTTCCCTTGAAGGTCATGGACACTCTCTCATCTCAGCCCCTTAGACTGAAAGTGAGTTACCTGCTCTGTGGGAAGTTAGTGGTTATATGTTGGTGCCCTGGGCATTTATTTCACATCTAAACAACTAGAATCTAGCAGAGGAGAGGCTAGAGCAGGGCTCATGGCTGATTCCCCATAGCAACCTTTTGTACTGGGTCTCTGGTCCATCCTGTGTCTTTTTAAAAATATATTTTTATTGATTTCAGAGAGGAAGGGAGAGGGAGAGAGAGAGAAACATCAATGATGAGAGAGAATCATTGATTGGCTGCCTCCTGCACAACCCCTACTGGGGATTGAGCCCACAACCCGGGCATGTGCCCTTGGCCAGAATCAAACCTGGGACCCTTCAGTCTGCAGGCCGACGCTCTATCCACTGAGCCAAACCAGCTGGGCCATCCTAAGTGTCTTGAAGGTGAAATCCTTGGCATCCTCTCCCTGCATCCCCTGGCAGAGCCCTTAAAGCTGGATACCACATGGGTGTGGAAGTAGCCACGTGCAAGACTAGAAATATGTTTCCTCCGCTATGATAGCTGGTAATTCGCATCTGTGATGCTATTTGTATGATGTGGATTTACTTATATGGAAACTTGGGCAACTATTCAGGCCGCCTGCATAGTGTTTACTAAATTAGCACTTATGGAAGCAATATCGTCCCCTGAGTGCTGATTGGAGTTTTCAAATACGGTATAAGGAGGCCTTATCTGATATCAATTCCTTCAAGTAAGTTCCTACTTACTCAGTAGTACTGTGATGGCCTTTGAGAATGACATCATTTTCCTGAGGAAAACACGATCAAACAAAAATAATAAGAGAGTAGACAAGGAGCTAGATCTGTCTGGTATTTTGTAATGCTATGACCTTGACATTTTTACTTTTCTTGCTACTTCCTGCCAAACTTGGCCTTATTATAGGCCTTTTTATGATTCTGCACCCAATCCCAATGTGTGGGGGTTTCCTCCACAACAACAACAGGCAATCCTCTGACACCAGCTGGGAATCCTACACTGCAGCTCAATTCGGACACTATCTACCTGGAGGTCGAATCACATCCCACAGGTTCATGACTCAGTCCTACAAAATGGACCCCCTCCTTTGGGTTAGATTAACGTTCTTAAGGGGCTCCCAGAACACAGCAAAAACGAGTTGCTTATTAGATCACCTGTTTATTAGAAAAGCATTTAACTCAGGAACAGCCAGCAGGAAGAGATGCATAGGGCAAGGTATGGGGAAGCAGCATGGAGATTCCAGGTCCTCTGGGAGCTCCACTCTCCCCAAATCTCCATGTGTTCGTTAACACAAAAGCGGCCCAAACCACATCATTTTGGATTTTTATGGAGGCTTCATTACATACGTCTCATTGATGAACTCATTGGCTACTTGTGATTGAACCTAATGTTCATCCCCTCTCCTAACCCTGCAGTCTGGGGGTAGGATCGAAAGTTCCAACCCTCTAATCCAGCGGTTCTCAACCTGTGGGTCGCGACCCCTTAGGCAGTCGAATGACCCTTTCACAGGGGTCGCTTAAGACCATCCTGCATATCAGATATTTACATTACGATTTATAACAGTAGCAACATTACAGTTATGAAGTAGCAACGAAAATAATTTTATGGTTGGGTCACAACATGAAGAACTGTATTTAAAGGGCCAGAAGGTTGAGAACCACTGCTCTAATCACATAGTTGGCTCCCAGCCTCCATCTCTAGGTGCTCATTAACATAAAAGGCACCTTGATGCTTCTCATCAGAGGAAATTCCGAGGGTTTTAGCATTTCTGTGCTAGGGAAGGACAAAGACCAAATATATATTTCTTATAAGGCACATCACATTTTTTCTCCCTAATTTCAAAGGATAAAAAGTGTCACTGCAAAAATATTATCAACATACTCTCCAAAGTGTATTTCTGTATGTCTTATTTCTAACTAAAAGCATTTCTCATTTTTAAAGAATAGAGAAAATATAAATACATGGTAGGGTTTAATGGGAACATCTATATATACACCACACATACACGTTTATAGTCACATGTACAGGGTAGGCAAAAGTGGGTTTACAGTTGTGAGTATGAGAAACAGAGTTTATTCTTGTATTATTTTTCATATGAACAACTATAAATCTACTATTGCCCCACCCTGTACATACAAAGATCAGAAGCAAACGTTTCAAGCAGCAGTTCTTACCATACTACATATAATTCACACTATTCCTATGTGTTATCTACTGAAAAATAAACTGCTGCTTGCAACCCACTAAATTGATTTTCTGATCCAGTGGTTTAAAACTATTGACCTAAGCAATCTCAGTTTTTCTTACCCAGGTGGATATACTTTTAAGGAAAATGAAATTTTAGAATTTTTACCATGCAAATTTCTGCCAAGACCTTGCTAATGTCTTAGAGGGTATTGTGCTTTGATTCTAAGCCTGCCACCCATGTTCCCGATGTTGTGTTACAAAAAATGAAGTTCACGGTTACTACAGCTGTTTTGGACAGCTGTTTGAGTAACTCAGAACAGATGTCTGGGCCCAAGGTCTGACATTTAGTGGAAATGTGCTCTTGAATACCACCTCGTGGTTTACTTAACCCTGCTAGGTAATTGCCCACAGAGGGAAATACTTTTTTAAAAAAAAAACTATATTAACTATATTATGTTTTCCATAAATATAAAGTATATAGGTAGGGGAGTTACTGTGTAATTTAAATTTACAATTTCTTTGTTGCCCTCTGCCACAGTTTTGACTCAGAGGTCAAGTCTTAAAGTATCAGCTAACCTTCATCTTTCATTTTCATTAAAAGTACCTGGAAGCCCAAAGAAGTTAAGTGCCTGGTTCATGGCCAGTCAGCAAGTTAAATTAGCCTTCTGGTCTTCTCTCAATGGCCTTACTAAACTGTTATCCAAATTAATAAAGGGATTATATGCTTCTCCATGTAGTGATAAGCTGATGGCGAAACTGTCCTGCATAATAGCCAATATAAACGGCAGGGTGTTCAAGGTGTGGATGGGTTCATATTTAGCTTTGTGATTATATCTTTCCTGATTAATCTCTAGATATATATAGTTGGCTGTTCAC